CTAAGTTCTTACAGGTGACTATAGTGCTTGATTGCCTCCTCTCGCCCAAATAGAAAGTCCACTTCTCTTCATCATACGCCAAAACAGAAGTCCACTTCTATTCGACAGCCACTCTACTTCATCATACGCCAAAATAGACGTCATGAATTCTAAGTCCATCACGGTGCATTCACCCTGCGCTACTGTCTTCCCCCAAATAGAACTTACTGTCATCACATCTGTATTTCGCACAACTTCCTCACTAGCTTACTGTCATCACATCTGTATTTCGCACAACTTCCTCACTAGATACGGCGAGAAAAGGACCGTGAATTCTCTAATTTCTATCCGAGGGGAAGAGGGTACCACAATCCACCCTCTCCTACCACTGCACACTCAACGTCACTGATCCCCACTCATATCACGAACTCGTTCTGACCACAAGCACAAATTGGAAGTCATGAGTTCAAACTTCAAACCCTATCAACGGCACATAACTTCCCGGTTCATCCCCGTTTACTTTCCTGAGGATATCCAAGACAACAGGATAAAAAAGCTCTTTCCGGGAACTGCTCCAGCGATCATTTGTCACACAATAATCAAGCAGCAGAGTTGCTGGACTTGAAGAAACTGTCACACACTGCTCCCCAGTGACCATGTGTCACACAGTAATCAACCAGCAGTGTTGCTGCACTTAAGAAATTGTCACACACTGCTACTTGACAACAAGACTGCACAAATCGCAAAGTGACATCATCATGCTACTAGCACGATCGATCCACATCATGCTAGCACAACCAACCCACACAAAGCGAATTTTATGATTGAATCAAATTCAACTTTCTGCGACTTCCACCCACAGACCATGCTTTTTCTACTGAGACCTAAAAAACTATGTTCAGCAGCATTGCCTTAGGAGGAGAGCGCCATCTCGAGGGGGCAAAAAGCGACTCTATGTCTACCTTTGGGTGTAACCGGCACCACTGTCCTGCCTTGATGACATGCCGCCCTTGTACCACTCTAGACCAGCAGGGTGGAAAAAGTAAAACCGATCTTCAACTACCTTAGGGCAAAAAACCTGCCCAACGTTTGCGGCACCTCTGCCCTTTTGTTATCAACTACTAACACTGTTTTTCTCTGCTCGAACTCGGAGGATACGTCTCTTGAAGGCTCTTCCGCAGCATTGCTTGAAGAGAGGGCCAGCTCGAGGGGTGAAAAGCGGCTGACATGCCGGAAATGACTCAAAAAAAGAAGACAAGACACAAATAGAGGAGCATGATGGTAAGGAAGTGGAAGGCAATGGCAAGGCAGGAGAGGTGAAAAAGGGAGAAGAGAAGGTGAAGGGRAAGGAGAAGGACAGGGAGGAGAATGAAATGGSAGGACCTTCTGRAACTGCAAAAGAACCTACTTCCAATGAGTCTCCTAAGAAACGAGGCACAAGGAGATGGACAGAGGAAAAGAGGCGGAGAAAATAAAAAGAAAACAGGGAATACAAGAATTGGGTTGTGACCTCGTTAAGAGAAAATGAGTTGCCTTCAGACGCACACTGGAGCTTGAAGTTGGAAAGAAAAAACACTGCCCAGCGTTTGCAGCACCCCTGCGGCTTTCCTTATTAACTAGTTCGCACTTTTTTTTCTCTGCTATAAGTTGGAGGATAAGTCTCTTGAAGACTCCTGCGACTTCCAACTCACATTCTAAAATGTGCAATGATCTACTGTCTTCCCCCGAATAAAAAGTACGGTCATTCTGCCTGTATGTAGTGCAACTTTCAGTCCATATGCAGCGAAAATGACAGTATGTTCTATTCAGGTGAAGACGGTAGTAGTATACCATTCAACGATTCTACACGTCCTGTTTATGCTACACATATGTTTCTCCTTCTTGTTGATACAAACCAGCTATCGTCATCAAGCACTGAATATCAACAGCTTCGTTGCAACCTCTCTAGTCCCTCGCCCTTTTTTTTTTTTCTTTTTTTCTAAGCCAACAGGTTAGCCATCTGAAAACCCTCTGGCTCTCACATCAAGCAAAAAGTGAGTCGCGAAAACTCATGGATAGGTAGATAGATAGGTAGATAGATAGATAGATAGATAGATAGATAGATAGATAGATAGATAGATAGATAGATAGGTACAGTTGGGCTACCTACAGTCTCAATTCCCCCAGTGCTAACATATCCCTATACACAAGCAACAAGGCCAAACTCTCCAGTTCTGCCTAGCTTGAGCTTGGTCATTTGGACTCCTGGCTTCCTTCGCTCTGTGGAGGCCAAAGCGTATTCCCAAACCTCCTGCACCTATGGGTTTTGCAGCTTCACTCCTTTTCTGGTCATTTCAGGCCACCTTAGCTTCCAAATGCACCACAGCACAGCCTGCCTTTCATGTCTCAAAACTTGTGAGCAATTCGTTTTCGGAAACTGACGTTACGACAAGAGTATACCAGCCATGACCTCTCTACAAGTGGCCCCGTCTCTTCACTGCTGTAACCAGCTATCGCATGACTGCAACCTGCATGATTACTCACTTGTATTGGAGAGCAAGCTGCATGATTACGCACTTGTATCTCACACACACACACACACACACACACACACACACACACACACACACACACACACACACACACACACACACACACACACACACGCATGCAAGCTCACGTGCGCAATGTCTTGCCATAGTGTGATGCTATTGCCTTATCACTTCTTGGTCTACCTTGCTTATTCCATGAGATGGAACCAATGTACTGTCTAGTAGTCGGTTGATTCATGTTGGTTCATTCTTGCTTCACTGGTGGAGCTCGCTGGTTCAGTCGCATGGTGGCAACTCGTTCCATCTTGCTCGTCCATGCTTAACAGTCCACTCTTCCTCCTCCTTTCTCACTGATCCATTCTCACTGGTTCATCCTAGTTGGCCCATTGTTGCTGGTCCATTCTCACTGGTTCATCCTTGTTGGTACATACTTGCTGGTCCAGTCTCACAGGTTGATCCTTGTCAGTCCACCCTTGCTGGTCCATTCTCACTGGTCCATCCTTGCTGGTCCATTCTCACTGGTCCATCCTTGCTGGTCCATTCTCACTGGTCCCTCCTTGCTGGTCCATTCTCACTGGTCCATCCTTGCTGNTGGTCCATTCTCACTGGTCCATCCTTGCTGGTCCATTCTCACTGGTCCATCCCTGCTGGTTCATCCTTGCTGGTCCATTCTCACTGGTCCATCCTCGCTGGTCCGTTATCACTAGTCCGTCCTTGTTGGTCTGTACATTGCTAGCCCATCCTTGTTGGTCCATTCTCGCTGGTCTGTTCAGCTTTCGCTGGTTCAGTAAAATGGCTGGCAGCTTGTTCCATCGAGCTCGTCGATCCATTCTTGCGGGTCCTGTGCCTGCTGCGCAAACCTTGTGTTCTCGTGTGCCGATTCAGTCACATGACTGTCGACTAAATCCGTCTTGCAGGTTCATTCTTGTCAGACCATCCTTGCTCGTCTGTTTTTGCATGGTGGTTGTCAGTTCACTCTTGCCGCTTCATTCTGGTCATGTTCTGGCTGTGGCGTCGCCTTCGCCACCAGCTCATTCTGGCTGATCTGTTCCTTTTTGCTGCCTCAGTCACGTGACTGGTAACTTGTTCCACCTAGCCATTTCGTTCTCGCTCCTTTCTGACTGGCCTCTTACTCTACTGCTGACGAAGAACAGGTATGCTCACGCTACGACTTCCCCCGGCCACAATCACAGTGGAGTTCAGCCCGAAGGTTGTCTTGTGAGTCTGGCCTAAGACACTCAGCCGACCCGTGCCTCCCTTGTGAACACCATGGAATGTCGATATGCACGAGTCCACAATCCCTTGGTGGACGTTCCGTGAAACCATTGCGCGCAGCGTCACGCAGTCACCGTCTGCGGAGGGTGCTCCAAGTCACGTTTTATTTACGATGCACAATTTTGACGATGCGAGGAGTGCAAGCTGTGCGGTCTGTTTCTTCACCCTCAGCACACTGTCCACGTGTTGCCACCATGGGCATCCAAGCTGTGCTGTCTGTTTCTTCGCCGTCAGCACACCGTCCACCCATTGTCATGATCCTGTCCATGTGTCGCCACCATGGGCATACAAGCTGTGCTGTCTGTTTCTTCGCCATCAGCACATCGTCCACCCATTGTCATGATCCTGTCCACGTGTTGCCACCACGGGCATCCATGCTGTGCTGTCTGTTTCTTCGCTGTCAGCACACCGTCCACCCGTTGTCATGATCCTGTCCACATGTCGCCACCATGGGCATGCAAGCTGTGCTGTCTGTTTCTTCGCTGTCAGCACACCGCCCATCCGTTGTCATGATGGTGGTTAAGCATCACAAACACTTCAGAATAGAGATGTGGTGCCTCGCTTCACAGAGCACAGTATCTCCACACCTGCCAACCTCTTATACATGCTCAGTAAGGATGAGGCTGGTCATCCTAAGGAACAGGCTCCGTCCGACCACCAATCTCTGGGGTAGTGAGGCTGTGAGAGCACATCTCGCAAGCGAGTAGATGCTCAACAAACTTGACATGCTCCTGTCGGGAGATGACCGTCCGTCAAGATGTTCAACATACTTCTGTCAGGTAGTTGATGCTCTCCAGGCGCTAAGCAGCATGCAAGAATGGATACCATTGGACTGGCACACTGGCATCACAAACTCTTCAGCTGGAACTGCACCATCATCGGTGGGCCCACGGGGATTCCGCTCGCGGAAAAGTGGCATGAACCTGGTCGACATGCCGACCAGGTTACGCCAACATAGCTTTTCACACCTTGTGGTTAGAAGCCGGAGGGGATCGCTGTAAGATGAATAACCTTGATCAGGTCTTCGATGGGCCCACGGGGATTCCGCTCGTGGAAAAGTGGCATGAACCTGGTCGACATGCCGACCAGGTTATGCCAACATAGCTTTTTCACAGCTTGTGGTTAGAAGCCAGAGGGGATTCTGTAAGACAAATAACCTTCATCAGGTTGACCCGATGACGAGGTTACTATACATTCCCACACTTTCTCAGACACCGGAGCCCCTGTTCTTGGTATTCCATTTTGGATATCCAGAACTCTGGCTTGTCCTTCATGATGTCTGCCAGAACTGCACCCCCAAGATAAACTGTGTGTTTGCGATAGGGTGCATCTTCTATGCGCAGCCGAAGACGCCTCATTCCCTCCGCATTACCCTTCAGCACCACCTTACAATACAGCTCACGAATCTCCTTCTCCAATCTCGTTGGAAACCCCGGGTACATGGTGGTCCCGCCGCTCAATACAATGTGTTGGTAAAGCGCCATTCGATTGTCAATATCCATCCCTTGTATGCACTTCAACACCATGTCGGGTAACCCCTCGCTTTCGACATCAATCAACTCCGGTGAGAAGAGAGCCTCCGGCGCCTGAAAGCGTTCTTGGCCGATCTTTATGACCCTGCCGTCGGGCAACGTGTAGGTCTTCATGACAACGGTGGTTTCTCTCGCAAGCCGCATCTCGCGCTTGTAGTCGTAACTCACATAACACAGTTGTTCCTTCAATTCTCTTACGGTCTCAAAATCCGCCGTTCGGTTGAATGCGTAGCCTCTCCTCAACAGCAAGTCCACCAAGTAGGCAGTGATATGACGACCCGCCACATTCAGGCGATTCGTCAAGTGTGGAAACGCAAAGCCATCCACAACTGGCACCACATGCGATACACCGTCGCCCGAGTCGACGACCAGCCCGGTCAGCAGACCTTGGGCATACAGTGTCAGCACTGCCTGAACTTGAATGTACATTGCACGAAATCCATACTTCTCAAACATTGTCTCGACCATTCGTTCCCGGTTCCTCCTAGGGTTAAGAGGCGGGTCAGTGAGCAGAATCTTGCATTCAGGCGGGTTAAGCTTAAGAATATCAAAGAAGGTATGGTCCCACACGCTGCCCATATCGTCCCAGTCCTGCACAATTCCATTCTTAATCGGGTATGTCACCTCGAGCTGATGGCGAAGCTCTGAGCACCGCTGGCCAACCACTAGATCTTTCAACGTGTTCGGCCTCAACGCCTCCTCATAGCGAAGCATTGGCCTTCCCACCATGCAGGGAAATACTGCTGCAGGAAAATTGTCACCGGCAAACCCACACTTGACAAATCCCGTTCCATTGTCGCACACGACGACATTCTTGCGATCCATCGATCGTCGGTCGTTGGCGTCTCCCACTGCCGCCAGACTACGTCAAAGCTTGAGAACCTCGAGCAGAAAAAGTGTCGACGACTCCTCGAGCAGAAACGTGTCGACGACTGGGCGACGATGTGTTGTTGATAAACGACAAACAGACGACCACCATCGGATCATCAAGTCCCTTACAACTGGTAGTGCTTGGCTTTGAAATTCTCAGCATTTCACAGGCGACTTACCATCATTTTAATAATATAATAATAATATAAGATATTCGTCTAGCGGAACGGTTGTTTTAATAATATATATTCTTAATCTTGTGCAGAGGGTGTATGATAGCAACTACTTGCTTCATCGTGCTTCATCAACAAAGAGTAAATCACACCAAAGGGCCTAGCTCAGTTGGTACACCCATGAACTGATGAAATTACAGACCCGAGTTCAAGTCCAGCTGCAACCAGATGACCAGATTAAAACTTAAAAGCATTCTGAATTACCTGAGGCCGGTCAGTCGAATGTCCCAAGGCCGTGGCCCTTCAGAAAAAAGACAAGAGTACAACACCAACCAGTGTGCCATGAGGAGAAAGCAAGAAGGAAGATGGGAAAAAGGTCCCAGAGTGCCGACAGAGTGCGCACATGCATCGGCCTTTTGGTTGAGAGCTAGTGTAATATCCGTTCTGATCAGTTTAATATCTGGGGGGCCCGGGGGGCGGGGGGGGGGGGGGGGGGGGGGGGGGGGGGGGGGGGGGGGGGGGGGGGGGGAAGGGAAGGGAAGAGTGCGCACACATGATCGTTAAAGGATGTAACAAGAAAGTAACGGCCAAGTCCACCGGTTCCTTCCACCCATCCAACAACTTGCAAGGGAGGATGGGTGACTCGACCATCTGCATGGGCTTGTGATGGCAAATTCAGAGCTCCGCCAAAGCGTACGAAGTCCTCAAACACACCACCACAAGCACTACTGTGCAAGGCACAGAGCTTCTCTGTGTCCATCCTGCAAGTGGGTGTGTGCTGCTCCAGTCCCATAACTTCTGCCTAAGAACCTCGCTCGAATTTGTAGCGCCAACGGTGCGAAGAAAGGCTAACAAAGACACATGCAAGAAGTATTGACTGGCAAAAAAGAAGGGAGAGAAAGCATCTCCTAAGCGTGGAGTTGCATCCAGTATTGCATATACTGCACATGCGCAGTTCAGATGCAGATTACCAGCCCATCCTGAACAACAGCAGGTTATCAGGTTTCTAGAGCAATGCTTCAGCCATCGTCTCAGTCAAGCCGCACCACCCTGAGCGTCAATGTTAACCGAAAATGGTATAGCTGAACCGTTACACGAAAATGATCCAGATGCACCATTATACGATCACTAGAAAATGGTAAGGAGAACAGCAGCAGCAGCTATGTCTACACGCTCGAAGAAAGAACAGGACCAGGGACAGCGTGACAGCAGGCTAGGTGTAAGAGGTGATCTCCTCAAGGGTTAGGTGATGACAATCTCGCGGGGTAACATAGCCCCTGAAATGTGGGGTAACATACTCCCCCCTGAAATAGGGTACTTCATTTACCCAGCCATGCTTCCACGCAAGGTGCTGAACATCGCGCATGGTTCCTAAGAGACGATCCTGGCAGAGATGATGACAGAGGCACCTATGTGTTATGCCCTCAAAATCTAAACCATCACACCCTAAACCTTCCTAGAGACCTAAAGAGTGAGGAATCAGTACACAGACCGGTTCAGGAAAATATCGGCTAAAATGGGATTTTGTTGGGACGCTGGGTCCAGTTTCCAGCAAAAACCGAAGCTGGGTAATGGCACCAGTACATACCGGGTTGAATTGTGAGGTCTCCGACCTTGAGTGGATTTTGGACCACCAGTACCTTTGGCGTCCGGTTTCGACAAGTCTTGGCCAGTACCCGAACTTTCAGGAGGCCGAGCCCGACGTTGATCAATCTGATCGACGGCCGTCATTTCGTTTCGGCCTCCTGAAAGGTCGGAGGCCGAGTATTTCCGAACCGACAAAGGTACTGGTGGTTAATAAATTGTGCTTTTCCACACACACACAAACAAACAAACAAACAAAAAACTTAAACCATGGACCATCAAAGTTCCCCTCACATGTGTGACGACAATCTCCGCCCAACACTAGAAACGAGCCCCTAGAACCTTGCCCCTGAACCTGAGCCCCAAAGCACTGGACAAAGAACTTTCACATTGGTTACTAGGTAATGGCGACAAAGACATAACCTTGTTCATCGCATGGGAGCTGATCATAGGACATGGTTCAGAGAAGTCGTTAGATAATAGAGGGATGATAAAGACCCCCAACAGATGCACCCCCTGGTTGACTGCATGGTAGTACTCGGCGAGTTGGGGGTGATGAACCCCTTGGAGTCCTTTCCGGCCAAAAATAATACTAATATTGCCTTCAATATGTCAAGCTGGAAGAGGCAATAGTATTTCGGCCAAAAAGGACTCCAAGGTTATTTTCCCTAAAAACATCTCCAAAGTTATTTGGGCCAAAAAGGTCTCCAAGGTTACTTGGGCCAAAAAGGTCTCCAGGGTTGTTTGGCCCAAAAAGGCCTCTAAGGTATTTGGTCCAAAAAGGTCTCCAAGGTTATTTGGGCCAAAATGTCTCCAAGGCGAATACGCACACCTAATTGGTCTTCAGAACAAACTAATGTACCCCCTCTTAAACCACCGGTACTTGGGACCATACACCAGCCGCGGGCCCCTCACCGTGACATTCAGATGCCGTAAACACGACAAAGGTCGTTGATGAGATTAATCAACCGTAAATCATAATCCGCATGTCGGGGGGTTCAAATCCCTCTTCGGCCGGTCGTCTATCTATGCTTTCTTCAAGTTTATATATACGATACATTTGAATTTTCTACTGGTCGTTTACGCCGAGTCTTCTCCCCCCCCCCCCCCCCCCCCCCCCCCCCCCCCCCCCCTCCCGGGTAGTGTACAATCATACTACAACGTCCTGACAACGTACACAAGATGGCTGCAGCAAAGCAACTTGTAGACTCAAAAAACAATTCACAAATCGCGGTCGGCAAATCCGCTTCACAAATTCATAACAGTCCATCACATGTAGATAAGGCATCCATTTTTTGGTTTGGAGACATCATGAGCGCGAGCAAGAACAGACAAAATGCCGTGTGTGTAAAGGACAGCAAGATCTCGTTTACCTTCTGCTGGTAGGGTTGTGCTCTCTCTCTCCTCGAGGAGGAGGACTCCCCGCCGTGGCCCTGACTTTTGCCCCCGTACGATCCTCCGCCGCCGTCCATACCCATCATCTTTTCCAGGCGATGATAGTCGATCGAGACCCCAATCCCAATCCCAATCCCAATCCCAATCTCCACAAAAAATAAAAAAATTGCAGTCATCCAACGATCATGACGCCTTGGACATCAAAATCGAACGGTCGTCACATCTTTCATATCTGTTCAGAATCGCAAGCCACCAGCCAGCCAACATCTACAAGTACAGTCAGATTAAATTTCTCTACCCCCTACCCACCTTAACACCCCCTTAAACCACCACTGCATTCACAGGCAGCACAATAGATTTTGCTCGTACACGAGTACGGGGCCAAAATCTACAGTGCCCTGGCCCGGTAGAGGAACATTTTTCAACGGCCGGCACTGTATATAGGTTCGAGGCTCGAGAAAATGCAACTTCTGGTTCATCAATTTAGCTTCGGATGGGCTGGATGTTTACCATCCTCCCCCCCTCCCCCGCCCGCCCCCTGCCGCCAAGATCGGTGGGGTGTAAAAAGCACAACTCCAGTTGAGTGCAATTTTTTCGTCCTCCGACGTGGCGAAGCCGCTTTCTAACCCAAGATTAGAAAAGAAATTACCAAAACTGAATATTCCAAAAAAAAAGAGCCTTTGTCATCAGATTGTTTATTCAACCCTGATAACAAATAAGGGGGGAGGGAGGGGGGGGGGGGAACCTTCGAAAAAATAACAAAAAAAAAAAAAAAAAAAAAAAGAATTGCAACCCAAGCTCAAACCCTGAACAGTAAACAGAGAGCCATCAAAGTCGATTGAATAAATTTCCATTTTGAATATGAAAGACGCAATACATGCGTCCTTAGGGACATCCGTCAAAATTGCAACAATGCAGAGAAAGAAGAAGATTAGCATGGCCCCTGCGCAAGGATGACACGCATGTAACAACAAATGCTCTCCTCCCC